ACAAATGGCACTTGTTTGTGCCAGCCTGTGTCCCAAGCACAGGAAAAGCTGTGAGTTTTTTATCTGCCCACAGGTCAACAACGGAGGATGCTCCTTTTAAAATCAAGTCCTGTTTGCTTTCAGCCAGAGGTTTTTAGAGCAGTGGGAATTCCCAAGGAAGCCATAAATGTGTAAGCACATCTCCACCGTACAAAGTGGCAGGAGCCACTAGTGCTGTGCTAGCATTTGGTGACAGATCATTGTCACGGTGGCAGTTATTGCCGTGGTGGCAGCCCCTGGCCAGGCCTGCCAGCTGCGGGAAGAGGGACAGTATTGCAGCCTTTGACGTCATTCCAGCAGATCCAGCTCAGACATCTGTCCCAGGCAGAGATTGCACATGGCCCCCAGAGAACAGACAGGTTGTGCAATGCCAGAGCAGGCTTCACTGAGGGACTGGGCACATCCCTGCCCCCAGCAACTCAGCACCACCAGGATCAGCCTGAGCGGGTAGGAATGGCAAGAGTCTGGCAAAGAAATTGGTGCAAGTCTGCTCAAAAAGCTGATTAATAATTTGCCTCCAGATAGAGGGGATGTCACCATGGACCACCTAAATGATGCACAAAAGATATATTTGCCCTCTCAGGCAGGGCTGTTTGCATGGGGTAGAGGAGAGGGTGTCAATTATCCCCGTTTTTTTGTTGTTTTTTTTCTTTTGGGGGCACTGCCTAATACGAATGGGCTTGGTAAAGAGAAATAAGAGCTACAAATATCCCAGGGACCCATCAGTGGGCATGAATGTGTGGAGATGTTTAGCCTTGTCCAGGCAAGAGAATCAAAAGAAATTCATGGGAAGCCAGAAGATGATGATGATTTTGGAGTTGGTGGGAGGAAAAAATCAGAACACACAGAAGAGCTCCAATCCAGCCAAAGGAACTGGACACAGGCAGGAACACAGCCCCAAGACACCCCCAGGACACCCCCAGGATGCTTGGGGAAAATGGTTCAGGTGTGGGATATCACCTCCAAAGAGGATGCTGAGGGCCAACATTTCTGTCCAGGCAACAGAAGACAAGAATAAGAGGAACCACTGGGCTTGAAGTTGGGCCAAAGAATCGAGAGAGCTGGAGGTTTTTCAGAAGAGGAATGAGAGTTCTGCTGCTCCCATAAGAGGCTGAGCAGAGCTGCTGGTGGAGCTCCAGCCAGACCAGGTACAGCACCCCAGGTGAGCCCAGCTGTGGCACGGCTCTGCTGGAAACCAGCCACGGGAAGGTGGCCCAGGCATCAGAGCCCCAGGGTGAGATGAATCCTCATAAAAATACAAGCCAGCAGGAAAATTTCAGAAACCCAAACAAGAGGTGCAGAAGGAATAAAAATGATGAAAAAAAATCACCTTGAGCAGAGGCTCCTGGGCCACACTGGAAGGCAGCCCCTGTGTGGGACAGGGCCAGCATTGAGGACTTGGCATTTCTCAACCTTCTTTTGAAGCCCATTGAGACCCAGGCAGGAGACAAGAAATTTTGTCAGCTCAGTAACTGCTGCCTCCTCCTCCCTCACACTCACTTTCAAGAGGAAAATGTGCCAGGAGCCTTGTTTGGCTGCCTCTAAGCCTGCAGACCTGCTGAGGAACTACGTGGGCTGCTTCAAGGGGCTGTCTTGAGCAGCCACACAATAATGGAGCTGCAGGATTTACCACCTGAAAGAGATTAAGCTGTGACCCAGGATGAGCAGAGCATGAAATTCCAGGTCTAACCGAGTGTATGGAGAGTGGAAGGTAAATCAGGCAAACTACTGAAGGCTTCACTGAGCTTGGCCCAAAGCAATGCTGTGTATTCAAACACAGAAACTCACAACAGCTTGAAAGATCTTCAGTTAGGAGCATCTGCTGTAACAAAACATAGATGTATTGCAGTGATAGAACTCCTTGATTCACCATTTAGCACTGTCAAAAGCAGAAAATTACTAACAAGATGCTAGAAGAAGTATTAATAAACTAAATAAGAGTCTTTTAACTAATCCCATGAGCATGGTTTAGCCATAGGCCAGGCTTAGAAAGCATTGGAAAGTCTACAGGAAACTAAATATGAGGAGAACAGAAGCCTAAACACTTTTTTTACAAGACCCTTTCCCACAGCCACTGCTGATCTGGCCAGCCTGGATGAGCTCCATTAGATTTTATCAGGGAAGCTTTAAAAGTGGGAACTGGCAAAAGGGCCTGGATCTGAAGGACAGGAATCAGATGCTTTCCCTTCAGGATACAGCCTAGGGAAATTTGGATTAGTAAGTGTAGCAGGCATGTGGCAGACCACTGGAGAGGGTCAGCCTGTTTTCCATACCTGGATGGTGTTCTGCTGCTATATCAAAAAGGTTCACAGTAAGGAAGAGGCTGCCAATCTCAGCAGGAACCAAAGCTGTTCCAAAACCAGGTAATTTACCTTGGCCATGCTGCTGCTGACAGGGGAAAAGCCATGAGCAGGCAGGGAGCAGAGTCCCTGCTGAGTCAGCCAGTGCCCAGGGCCCCCCAGGGCTGCTCCTCTGGTGCTGAGCTGACCAGGTCTGCCAGCCTTGCACAACCCTTGGGGAGATGGGTGAGGAGGTAACTATTGTAGTGGGTACCTGAATGCATCAGAACCTTTCAGCAGCAGGAATGGCTCTTGTCTCTGTGCCTGACTCAGCCTCCCAGTATTGCAAAATCCCTGCCCCTATCAAATGCAGGTGGTAGGATTTCTAATTTAGAAGCTGCTTTGGAACAGGAACAGAGAAAGCATTCAAGGCTGATGGCTTAACCTGGCACAAGTCTGCATTCAGCCAGGGGAGATCGTTGCCATGCCCCAAAGAAATTCCCGTTGCAGGGGAAAGTGTGGGCTTGGGACACACCTTACATCTCTGGGGCATGAAGGCAGAGTTAGCAGCCACAAAGAACAACTCAAGGAGCAATCATAAACCGGCCCTCTGTCCTGGTGCAGCAATGCTAATGCTCTCTGCAGACAGCTGAGGGCACACACGGCTCTGGGGCACCACAAGGGAACAGCTGCCCCAGGGCAGAGCCATAGCCAGCACTGGGGAGCACCTGCAGGGATGGGATGGGATGGGATGGGATGGGATGGGATGGGATGGGATGGGATGGGATGTGCTGCAGGGGCACAGGCTGTGGAGGATGCATGGGAGTTTGTCTCCTGCTGGAAGAAAACAGGCTGGCAGAGTCTAAACCCGAACCTGCCCAAGAGGGAAAACAGGACAGGCAGCAGAGCACAGCAGAGACTTGGCAGGCAGTGACATTGGGGTGGGCACTGAGGGGAGAGATGCTGACACAACATGGGAGGCAAACATGAGGAAACAAGTTCCCATTTCATCTCCCAGCCTCTAAATGTCTAAAATCCATCATGGGTCAGAGTGTGAGCCATTCACCTGTGGCTGTCAGTAGTCAACAAGACACATCCAGAAGGCAGGCAGGCACTGAGAGCTCAGCAGGAGAACTGAGTCAGAAGGAGCTGCTTACCTGAGCCACTGGCCTCAGGAGATGCCTGCCTGCAGCTGAGCTAGGGGGAAAGAACATTTTTCCTGTAGGCTGAAAAGACCCGTGGGAAACAAGTGTCATTTTGTAATGACAGCATTCCCACCTAGGAAGAGAAAGCAGCCAAAAAAAAAGCAAAATTACATTAAGATTAATATTGGCAGCATTGCTGAGAGAGAGAACCCAGAGGCAGGAGAACATTTCTAGGGCAGAGTCCTGGCTATCCCAAAAGGGAACAGGGACTATGAGTATTTCAGTTATGAACTCAGCATCACAGGAAAAAGACCTTTACTCCCCTCCTCCACCACCAGCAGCTCCCAAGAGCTAATTCCCCCTGCGAGCAGTGATGGGGTAAGTGATCTGCAGGTTGTTTTCAGGCAAGAGGCCTTCGAGTTAACAGCAAATACAGGCCTGCTCTGTTAAATGAACTTTATTCCATTTACAAAACATAGTGAGCTCCTCACACAGCCTGAGCTGGCTGCTGGCTGCATCTGCCAGGTCAAACTGTGTTGGAAGGGTCTGACTCACTTCTTTCATCAGACCTGCAAGAATATGAGTCAGGAATAATCTTTAATATCTCAATCAGCCCCGTAATCCTCTCCTGCCTAAATTCATCACTCCCTGGCAATCTCTTTGAGAGCTGAATTTGAGGCTCATTCACTGTCAGTAAGGTGTGGAAAATGACAATAGCTATCACCCAAGGAAGTCAGCAAAAGAAAAAGGGGTTAAGGGATTTGCTCCTCATCCACTGGAAGCCAGAGCAAACTGTGCTTAGATGGGAACACTGGTGCTCATGACAGCATCACGGGACACATCTCCACAAAGATTGCCAGACCTGTGATGGACTCAGTGAGCCCATGGAGGAGACAGGATCCAGCCCTGAGGGAGAGGAAGGAAACAGAGTTTGGGAATGAAGGGAGTAACTGGAGCTTGGGGTGGAGAATGAGCAAACTAGAAAAAGTCCAGAGCTTGTCATTGTGCTGAGGGAGCTCTGCCTGTTACAGGGGGCAGGGAGGGCAGGGAACAGTGGAAGAGCCTCATTATTCAAACAACGCCTTTGCCTGATCTCTTAAGAATTGGAGATTAGGACAAGACTGAGGAAACTGCCGATCTGGAACAGACCAGTGGTGCCTGCATTCAAGCACTGGTTTCCATGAGAGTCCGAATTTGTCTGCTTTAGAGGAAAATCTTCGATAGCATCCCAGTTCCAGGAAGAGGGTGATACACCACGTGCTTGCTCCACTGGGATGGGCACAGAACTGTAGCAGGGCAGAAAGGCTATTTATAAGTGTATCAGATGTCAGCTGAGCTCTTTGCACTTTCTTTTCTCGATCATACATCAAGTCTAATGAGAAGGAATACAGGCTGAGGGGAGCAAATGAGCCCAGGTTAATGAAGAGGTGTCCATCTAATACAATACATGCAGGGAAGAAGAGCTGGCTCTGTGCCCAGCACTGCTACAAGGCTGAGCAAGATCACTTTACTGAGAGCACAGTGAGAGGCAAGGGTTGAAAGTGCTGTTTGTGATGATGGGTCTGCATTATTAGACAGAGAATTGTTTTCACCTGAAAAAAACCTTGATCCAAACCTAACCATAAACCTAAACTTTCATTATACTCTCTTCTAAGGACATGCAGTGCCTAAAAAAAAAAAATAACCTAAAGGGTTAACTCTTTCTCTCCAAACCTATGGTATGAGAGAGCTAGAATGCAGCTTTAAGCACAGAAAAGTTGATAGCTGTTCCAATTAACGTTCCAGCTAGCATCTGCTCTTTTTAATTAGTTGAAGTCTGATGTTGTCTGGAGACAGGACTGCTGAGTGGAACTGCTCTGGATTCTTTTCTGCTTACACAGCTATTCTGGTCCCTCTTGGTCCTTGGAACTTCTTCTCCATTTCAGAGGCCAGAGTCCATTGTGTGTGTGCTGATACTTGGGCTGTGCCCTCAGACCGTGTAGATGTTTCACTGCAACAGGCTTCAAATCTGTGTTTCCCACTGGAGGGAATACTGACAGAGGAAGGTACTTTATACGTGTCCTCTCCCTTCCCCAGACATGTGTTTGCATATTGCTTCACTTATTGAAAACTCATTTTTCGTCCACAAAAAGGCACTGTCATGGAATAGATGCAGGTGGATGGAGAAGGCTTCCCCAGGACCTGCCAACCTTCCTGTTTTGCTGGAAGCTCGCTGATCCTTCACCTCACTCTTTGAAACACGACCTTTGAGGATCTGAGCGTTTCAATTACACACTGATGAATAATTTACAAGTCATGGCCGTTGCAATAAACAACTCCTTCTGCTCTGTCCAAACACTTGATGTCTTGTCTTAAATTTCCCTCAATTTGCAGAAACCTGGAGGACTTAAGCAACATTCAAAAATTGTGATGAGGGAAAAGCAGGGTGGCATTTCACAGCAGCAAACAGCACTGGCAGCAAGTATTCCTCTTATCTCCCAGCAGGGCATTGACCTGTTGTACAAACTCCAGGTAGGAAAGCCACTGGCAAAGCAACCCCAGATGTAATATTTACCTAAGAGGAGACATTTCAGTGGAAAACAAGCTACAGGATCTGCTGACATCCCAGTGGGGAGGAGAACAGCGGTCATTCACACCAGTGCAGGCAAAAAGAATAAGAACAGGATCTGGAACTTCCAAGTATTTCTGAGTAATAAAGCTGTTGTTGCGTGAAGAGCATGTTTGTGCTGTCCATTATTCCAGCTAAACAGATATCAAATGTGGATTTGGTGCTTGTCCCACAGGAGATCCACTGCCCAGCATCAGCAGAGTCACTATGGTTCTGTGTGCCTCAGTATTCCATACTCAAAATACAGATGCAAATATGCAGATCCTGCAAGAAAACAACCAGGCTGGCACTAAGCACTCCTGAACCACTGCAGCTGATACCCAGTGATGTCTCATTCTCTGGCAAGGAGGAGTGGATCCCATGAGCTACCCTGGGAATATGAGCCACAGTTTTGAGTTACAGATAATAGTTCCTGTACAAGCTTCTCTGGAGAAGAAGATAGGATCGAAACAGCTCGGGAGCAAAGTGCATAACAGTTGTTTTTATCTTTAATCCATTCCACATGAGCAGAAAGAGCTTGGAGCTGTGAAGCATGTGCTTCCTTTTGCAGCTCAACCCATAACTTTGGTTTATTAATCCTTTTTGCTCTGCTCCATAAGCCCCTGCTGAAGAAAATTTGTGTGTGGGACTTGCAGGATCAGCTCTTTTTACCAGCTACAGTTTCACTATCTTCCTAAGTGATCAAAGCACAGGCTGTCACTGAAAGGGGCAATTCCATCTTTCCCCAGCCCATGTGTCCCTTTTCCTCAAGCCATCACAGTGATCATGATAAAAAAGGATCTTTTCCTCAGGCAGGGTATTTTTCAGCTGGATCAGTTCCCATGCAGTGACAGCAGCTGAAGTTTTGCCACAAAGCAAGAGCCAGGAAAAAGGCTGGAACTGTGCCTCGAGAGCTTAATGCAAAATCATGAAGTTTCAGTCTCAGGTTCCTGGGTCATTTGTCCGTGCGAATAGTGTGGATTTATAGTCCAGCTTAAGAAAGTCTCCTTGGCTGCAGCTTTGTGGCTCTCTTTTGCACAATGGGCCAAATGCAATCTCTTGTTCCCAGAAGTACTGAGCTCTGAGGGAAGTCTGGAACTAGTTACACTTTTCATCTGGGGACCAGGTCTACGTGGTTATTCAGAACTGGCCTTGAAATTGCAACCATATTGTTTATTTATATCCTTACCAGAGCAAACCAGGGGGCTCATCCCACGGAACCCAGGCTCAGCCTCCCAGATCTCACCCTCCATTGTCCAGAGAAATCTCCATCCTTAGAGATTTTCAAAATAGCATTTTCAAAAGGCAAAGCCTTGAGCAGCCTGATATGACTTGGAAATTATCCCTGCTTTGAGCAGGAGGCTGCATAAGAGACCTCCAGAGGTGCCTCTCCAACAGCATTATCCTGAGATTCTGTCATTTTCCACTGCATCTGCACAAGGCTCTGCTACAGCACCACCAAGCAGTCCCACACTGCCTGAGCCACACGTGAGGGAGCAAAAGCCAACCAATTCTCCATGGCCTTGGCTATGTTAGCTGGGAGCCAGAGCAAAGCACACACCTTATCTGTGTGCAGATGTCTCAGCACACACCAGAATAAGCTTTGCATTGCAAAAGAAACTGTCCCAGCTCTGGCCAGGATCCCAGGTTGAAGACTGCAGAACATTTTCTCTTCAGCAGGAAAGAGCCTGCATCCTCAGCAAGAACAAGTGTGAAATACAAATCACTGAGCACCTGCTGCTCGTTGTCCAAGTCATCACACAGCACCCCTGAGTAGCTGCAGTGAAAGGAAGAATGACAGGGACTGTCTTTTAATTTCCATATGGCCCTTCAGAAACGTCAGCAATTTTGATCCACTAGATTGAAACCTGAGCTCTTGAAAGAATTGTGCACATTCACTTGGGATGAGACATCCCATGAACACCCTGGGGGCTGGGGATCAGGAGACAAGGACTGAGCAGGTTCTGCTCCATCAGCTCGTTTGCAAAGATGGGAGCTGAGCTCACGGGTCTTCTTTCAGAGCCTTCCTCGGGGTCACTTCCCTTTCAGCCCAGAGGATGGAAGAGAATTCTTGGTGCTCGTCAGAGACCTCATCTCTAAGGTGAAAGGGGCATGGAGGAGCCGGAGCGGCAAGTGTGGGACAGAGCCAAATCCCAGCCCAGCAGTACAAGGCTGCTGCCATCTCCTGGCTGGCTCTGGCCATGCAAAGCTGACCGGGGACATTTTTCCAGCTGGAAAATTTTCCTTTGAGATAAGATCCTTCCTGTAAGTAAGCTTCAGCTGGAAGGAGCAGGGGGCAAGCAGCAGTGCCAGTGGTTATACCCCTGGGACCACAGCCCTGGGGTACCAGAGCTCTGCTGTGCTCCTGGGAGGTCTCTGCTTCACCTTCTGCTAGAGCTGCTCCAATGCTTTGGGATGGCTCCACCCCAAGCCATGGTAATCCTTTTTCCAGCAGGCCAGCACCTCCCTGTGCCCTCTGACCTCAGGGGAGAGGAGAGATCCCTGTTGAGGGGTCCCTGTTAATGTTGAGGGGCCGTGGATTTGCTGTGCCCATGCAGGACGTGTGGCCTTCACAGTGGCCTGGTGCTGGGAAAGGAGATGATCCACGGTGAAACAGAGACATGCTGGGATCAGACAGGATGGATGGAATGGATGGATATGGTCTCCAGTTCCGTTTCTTTTGGCATCTTTCATTGAGCTGTGATGCTGATGTGGATGATTCTGTGAATAAAGTAGAAATGGAGAACTACACGGCCACTCTCTCACCCCCTTTCAGCCTCTCTGCTAAGCTCAGGAGAGTGCACAGTAGTTGAAAGAAGTGTGAGAGCAGCCATATATTCCCTATGGGATCTCCAAAACCATCTGTTTGTCCATAGGCAGGAGCGAGGCAGGAGAACAGTGTATCAAACAGATTCACCAGCAGAAACCTTCTGCTGACAGCTCAGCAGGGACCCTGCTAAAGCAGAGAGCTGTCTGCACTGCCTTCCACAGAGCTCTTGTGGGTCGTGTCTTGTGGGCACTCGCTGAGGATATCTCCTCCTTCCTTGTCTCTAACCATGGGAATAGGCTCCAACTTCCCCTTCTTCCTCCTGGGATGCCCTGCACAACTTGCTGGAAAAGAGCAGAACAAGAGCTCCAGAGAAAGAAAAAAATCCAACTCATTTGTTATTTGCAGAGTGTTCACTGGCTGCTGCCAGGCTGCTCTCTCTGTGTGGCTCACATCACACAAACCAAAGTGGAATACTGGAATAAATGAGTTCCCTGGAGAAGACTCCAGGCAATGGGGAGATGACTGCCCAGGGAGCTGTGCAGCATCCTTGGGTACACAGGGAGTTTCCCATACTGATAAGACTACAGAGGAAGATTTCTTTATCTGGGTACTGATTCAGCTTTTATCTCTGTCAGCATTTCTCAATCATCCATTTCAAAATGTTTTGCCAACACTAATTAACCCCTGCAGTACCTCTGTGGAGGGGATCAGCATCCCTGTGTACCAACAGGGGGGCTGAATGGAGAAGACAAGTAGCCCCTTCACGAAAAAATGAAGCAAGCAAGGAAATCACAATATCCTGAAATCCCAATCCTAACAAAATCACAAATCCCCAAATCTCAGACATTCTGCTGGAAAGATAAGCAACCACCTGCCATTCTTACCATGCCAACTGCCTGGCTTTCTCCACTGGGCACCAAACATTTCATAACCCCAAAAACTGGGGTGCCCTGAAGCAGCCTTACCCCTAAGGAGCTGCAGGCATGGTCAGCTGCACAGCCTGTTCCTTGCAGGCAGATTTTCCCATGATGTTGCACATGCTATTTATTCCATTCATTAACCAAGTTAATGGTGGCTAAGAATAGACCCCAGATGTCCTTCTGGCCTTAAAAGCTTCTTTGCCCTCAAGGAAATGCAAAGCCTAAGAAGCTCATAGCTTGTGTGGGACACAAAAAATGAACCAAGATATGAGGAGCTTGTACATTTCCAAGAATTCACAAAATACATCTCTGCTTTTAAATAGCCTCTGTTCTGCTGTTGGGAAATAAGTGGTTTGCAAGGATAGTTCAGAACAGAGCAGTGGATGTACAAATGTTTAATTCATTGATAGAGAGATTGTGCCAGACAGAGCCAGAGCTGTTCAAATGTCTTCAGTTTCTGTTATTTATTTCTGTGATGTTTCCACTGTGACAAATTCATAATTCTGTAATAAACTGGTGTTTCTGAACAAAGACCATTTCATATTAAACCTTTAGAAAGTATGCATCTTTAGTGAAATTTACTCCTGAAATATTTTCTTTTTGTGATAGAAATTATTCTGTAGTGTCATTTTTTATACATACTCCTCAATACTCTTGGGAAATATCTCAAAATATACTAAAGATAGCACTATGGTTTTCTGCATCACTGCTAGAAACCAAGGCATTCATGTGCAGAATAAAGAAAAATTCCTTTCTGTACAAGCATTTTTCTTCTTTTGCCAGATCCAGTCTCTTGATAATCAGCAATTACAGAAAAGAATTATAACAATCAAATGGGAGTTTCACTTACAGAAATTCATGCTATTTATTGCATGAGTTATTCAGGCAGAGAAAGCTGTTTGGAAATCTATCAGTAAATGAAAAAAATGCTTTTTCTGAGAACTGAAATTGTATTAATAGTAATTCTAAAGGGTCTAAAGAGGAACACGATCCATTTGGAACCAATTTGATTTTCTCAGAAACAGGAAAGGTTAAATAAGGGGATTTAAGGATCTTTTCCTCTTTGCTTTTTATTAACAAATCTTTTATCATATCCTCTGTGGAAATATATGGTATTTCAAAAAGTGATATTTGGGTTTCTACAGCATTTTTGACTTGGGCAACTTTCAGTGAATGTCAGTTTGTTCACCCATCCCACATGTACTCTCCAAACTGTGACTGTTCATTCTTTGCAAGAAGACAGACCGAGGCAGAGATTAGGAAATGATAAATTATGGTCATTCCACCAACAGGGGCCCCAGCTCCCATTTCCTCAACCCTCTGCTCATGACATAGGGTTAAATACCCACATCCCAGGCCTGAAATAAGGTGGGATGACATAACAGAGAAGCCGGTGAGGCAGGCAGACCTGTCACACAGAGCAGTTTTCTGTCTTTTAGAAGGAGATTCGAGTCCGGTGTGCTCGGAACCTCCGGGGCTCGGGGACCCCGGCGCGTCCCCGCCCGTGATGTGCGCGGTCCCGGCGGGCCGGACCGCGCTGGGACCCCGGGCTGCTGGGACCTGTGATAATTGATAAATATTCGTGTTAATCGCAGAGGTATTGGGGTTTGTATAAACCAGAATGCCAAACTCTGAAGTGAAGCATGGACACTAGATGAAGGAAAATATATGATTAAATCATTCTGTTTTAAATCACCTTGTTATGAATATTATGTTTTCCAAATAAGTTGTATCTATTACCAGCTTGCAAAATCAGACTTCCCGATAGTCTTTCCTGCCTTTGCCTGATCAATGCTGCCTATCTCAAGGACCACACTTCCAGAACTTGGCTGGTGGTTATCTACAGAGACCACATGGTTATCTGTGAGACTGACTATCGCCAGGAGGCTTTGTGAATTTGAATACGGAAGTTTATTCCACCACCACTGCTTACCTGGCAAAACTATGACAGCAAAAAACCAAACATTATTGATTACGGCGGGAAACCACAGTGTAAGAAGAGGCTGCAAACCAAGGATGGAGCGCGGAGCGGGCAGTGACCCTCACGTTCCCCAGCGCTGCTTGACCCGTTTGTATCAAACAAAGCAATCTAAGTCTTGCTGAACGTGGAGACTTTTGTTTCTCATGCCTGCCACAGGTGTCCCGGACGGGGCTGTGCCAGCCCAGGAGCCCGGCGGTTCCATGCGCGCTCCCGTGCCCGAGAACGGGAGCGCGCGTTTCCATGGCAGCGCCAACCCCGCGGGCTGCGGTCCGGTCCGGTCCGGTCGGGTCCGGTCGGGTCCGAGCTGCCCGCAGGAGACAGCGCTGGGTGAGAGGAGGGGTCACTGCGGGAATCCGGGCTGGGAACACTGGCCGGGTTTATGGCACTGTTTATTAGACCCGTCTGCATGGTTACTTCTGGTTTTGTTTAGTGGGCGTCTTGTTTTGTTGGTGTCCTTTGCTTGTTTGTTTCGTTTGGTGGGGTTTTTTGTTTGGTTGGTTTGGGTTTCTTGGTTTTTGTTGATTTTTTGTTTGGTTGGTGTGGTTTTTTTGGGGGGGGTTGTGGGGTTTTTTGTTTTGTTTTGTTTTTTGTTTTTTGTTTTGTTGTTGTCGTTGTAATTTTTTTTTTTCTGAATAGAAGAAATAGAACTGAAAAGCACTGAATAAAATGCTTTTTAATTCCAGTGCATTAAAACCCTGAAAGCCTTACCTATTGATTCACGTACTAGTGGTACGCAGCTGCTGGAACATAATGTCAAACGCAGAGAAATATATGCCAAATAATTCTAGCAATGGAGCATTTTTTAACTTGCATTATTAAGCTTAATAATTATAAATTAGCAGAGCTAGTGCTTCTGTAGCTTCTGGCATTGTTTCCAAAGTGCTGTGCAAACAACCTATTAAAAAACCCAGCAACCTCAAACAAAAAATACCTTAATAAAATGAATATTTATGAGTTAATAATAGATATAGTTTCCTATACTTAGCTAAAATTATATTAGAAAACAATTTTTATCTCTGAGGGTTGCACTGACAATTATTTTCCATATGCAAGTGTCTAGTCCTGCTTTTCATACTCATTGCCTGTACAAGGAATTTAAACCAACCACAGGAACAAGAAAATTCTTATGAGAAAGGTTTTAGGATACAGAAATCAAAGTGTGCACTGAGGGCTGAAGCTCCCTCAAGGTTCACAAACTGCATTTAGGCATTTGACTGCCTGCCCACCCCTGCCCCGATGGGGCTTTCTCCAAACTCACATCACCAGCAGGGGTGATGTTGTTCCAGGATGTAGATGAGAGAAAAATATCCCTTTACATTAAGCAAAGGTCAGAGAGCTTTGAGCTCTTAAATAACCAGTCAAGGAGGTTCTTGGTAAAATGCACTTCAATAACTGAAAAAGAGAGAGAAAATATTTGGGACATATTCAAAAGCCTATATCCTACCTCAGCCTCTGTGTCTCATCAGCAGTGAAAGTTTGACACCTCCAAAGAATAAGGTACTAATTGGGCAGCTGCAGAAAAAGCACAAAGCACCAAGGACAAACATGGAAATTAGGCCAGATGAGTTTAGCTCAAAATACATAAAAACTGGAGACTGTTCAGAGCAAAAACTGATGCTCTAAAATAGCCCTAAAACTAGTGCAAGCAGAAGAGGGTATTTTCAACAGTGTCTTATAGCAGTGCAGATCAGGAATGGTGCCAGCAGCAGAACTGCATCAATTGAACTAATACCTCACTAAGCCCAGCTTGCTGCCTTGGGTGATTAAAGGACAGCTTTAACAATGGTCTATCTGTTCTTTGCAAGTGAGATCATTCCAATTATGCCTTGTCCCTTAGGATCCATAGCAAAAACTACAAAAAGACTGGAGTCAGAGAAACAAAGAAATAACCTTCAACAGTTTGCCAACCTAAAATGAAAGGCAACAGAGTTCTGTAAAGTGTGTCCAATAATCATTCAGGCTTATTGCAAGAAATCCACAATGCTGAAGCAATTACTGGGAAGAGCTTTAGTGAGTAAAAATGTAGCTTGTGAATTAGTGACAGGAGGATCAAAAAGCATGGGTGTGGATCAGAACTGGTGACTGGGTGGAAAAAGAGACAAGGGACTCGGGTTGCTTGTTGTGTCCAAATTTGTTTTGTTGCTGCTTTCCCATCAGTTTACATGTAAGAAGGACTGTGTATTACACAGCTTTCACATAAGGCAGGGAAGAACATCTCCTTTTGGAAGTCAGTACATAAATGTTTTCTAGTTTAATGGAGCTTTTTGTTAATTGCTACAGACACTAAAGGCTCAGTGGTTAAGATACAGAAAGCCCCTAGGCCTATCACTGCTGTAAAACTTATCATTAATTACTGGCAGATCCCAGCTGACTGATTTGTTTATGATTTTCTTGGGCCAGGGTCAAAGACATCATCCTGACATACAGTATCAACGTCGAAAAGTCTCTCTTCCAAACTTGAAATGGAAACCCACCTTGTGCTGTCAGGTAAGGGCACAATGCTCCAGCAATGTTTCCCTGTCAGGTCAGAGAAGAGGCCTGAAGTCAGGTTCTTCTGCCCCAAAACAGACGAAATGGCTAAAACTGCTACAGACAGAAAAAACCCTGGCTGAAATGCTGTTGTTGATCATCAGATATGGTCAAGTGACATAAACCATACAGAGGTCTCAGTTTTATCACTGGCTCCTCAGAAGCCCTATCCAGCTCCCTGCTCTTGATCCATCAATGTTAGACACCTGCAGCTGGGAGCACTGCCAACGCTCCAGGTGTGACACAGCACATCCCACTCCCTTTGCACTGGCTCCAGATATTCAGCTTCACATCTTCTACATCCTCATCCTGGTTTTCTTTATTTCTTTCTTTCATTTTTTTTTCCCCCCCACAGAAAGCACTGAAGATGATGAAGAAAACCCAATGAAAAATCCATTTAAAGTCCCATCAGATACTGAACTTTTCTCATTGAGGGACAAGGAAATTAAGAAGGCACAGGCGGTATGTGCAGGTTTTAGGCTAAACTATATAACAAGCAGTTACTAAGGCAGATACCCACCCAACAGAATACCAAAAATGGATCAAAGACCTCTTCATGAGAAAGCTGGGGATTCAGCTTGGAGAAGAGAATGCTCTAGGGAGACTAATTGTGATCTTTCAATACTTAAAAGGTGCTTATAAAAATAAAGAGCAACTTTTTACACAAGCAGATTGTGATAGAACAAGGAGGAGTAGATTTAAACTAAAAGAGGAATGATTTAGATTAGATGTTAGGAAGAAATTCTTTCCTGTGAGGGTGGTGAGACACTGGCACAGGTCGCTTAAGGATGCTATGGATGCCCCTGGAACTGTTCAAGGCCAGGTTGGATGAGGCTTTGAACAACCTGGTCTAATGGGGTGCCCCTATTCATGGCAGGCATTTGGAACTAAATGATCCCTAAGGTCCCAACCCAAACCTTTCTGTGATTCTGTGATCTCTGAAAGGTCTGATTGTTGTCTAAAACAAAGCCTCCTCACCAGACTGATACAGTCTGGTTTTTGCTTGGCTTGAAGGTCACTATACAATTATGGGGAAGAGCTTAGGAAGCAGTGCACTAAGGATGCCTGCTGAGTGATGTCCTCAGCATAAACCAGACCCAAACTGTGCAGACAGCACTGAATTGCACTTCAGTCCATGTGAAAGCACTGAGCAGGAACACCTTTTAACCTCTAGAAGGTTCTGGAGTAGGTTTGAATAGATCCTCTCAATCTGAACTTAATGGTTTAAATGTCTTTGTAAAAGCTGGACTGAGTTGGTTAAGTGTGGGCTGTCCCTCTTTAACCAGGGGACTCAAAGGATGAATCTCAAAAATTTCCATTTTCACAGGAATAACCCAAGAAGGAAAAATGAGGACACTGAGTGGGTACAAACTGGAACAGCTGGTAGATGGATGCAGAATACAAATCAACAAAATAATGACAACAAATGCTAAGAAATTTAGTGTTTCAGTTGCCTCAGAGAGAATATCATTGGGATTAATCAGATAAACTAGGCAAATATGCATCAGCAGGGTATCACCACTCTGCAAATTTCTAGGCTAACTACTCATGTCTTTAAAAACCACGGCAAACAAAGCACAGGTTCAAACTGTACACATATCTGACTTCTCACAGGAATATGACAAGAGGAAGACTATGAAAGTCCATGAGAAAACCACTTACTCCACTAAAATGAAGGCAAAAAGCGGGCTGAGGAGAGCTTTGAAAAGGGAGGAAGAAGAGGAGGGCAGAACAGAGGCGACATGTGAAGAGAGACTGAAAGATCTTCAGGAGATGCTTTCACGGAAGTTAGCCATGAAAAAAGGTGGAGAACAGGAGCTGTCTTTGCAGTGCTCAGCTGGGTAACAGCTCAAGAAAGGCCAGAGAGGGGACGTGGGAGCAGCTGGCTCTGGCTGACTTTGGTGAGGTCGTGCAGACACAGTTCTGAGCTGTATCTTGCCAAATCCTGCAGGGCTGAGCCATCTCCAGCTCAGGCATTTACCCACAGAGCATGGAACATTCCCTCACAGTGTCCTGGGTTCCACCAGCCTTGCAGCTGAGCTGGTACCAGCTGAGGGTTTGCAGGATCTTGGGTCGTGGAAACCTTTCTACTAAGCCAACCTAAAGTTTAATTTTAGTGGATACAGGCCTAGATTTTCTGCTTCTGACATAAGAAGAAGATATGCCATTAATGTCTAAAGGACAAGGATCAGATTCTCCACTCCATTCTCCCTGGTTTTACTCCATGAAAATCCATAGAAAACTGATCCTAAACAAGGTTATAACTATAATACAATAATCAGTATTGCTGGCTCCAACACCAGACAGATCCATGCTCGTGGCAGCCTGCATATTCACTGTGTTTTTCCTTGGCCATATTTCCCCCTCTCTAGTCTAAGCAACTTTATATTTTATTTTCAGATTATGCATTAGACAGGGAGACCTTCCATGGCTACCTACAGGACAGAAAACAGATTTTTTTTCTTGAGGTACATGGCTTTCAGTATGTTACTTTCTGCTCATTTAATTACCCTTCCCTGTGTTGCTTTGTTTTGATGTAAATTCTCCTGAGATCCACTGCCTAGAGAACTTTCCAATGTGCACACATCAGACCCCATGAACTGACTGTCCAAGTCCTGTGTTACAGTCACTCAGAATCTGTAGCCCAGACACTTCCAGCCAAGAAATAAAGGAGTGCAGGTCATTCCAATCACTCAGTAGCCACCAGGAAACTATTCCATTTGTGAGATGCACAGATACACTGACCTTTGGCTCCTGCTGTCCTATACATAAATTGCAGCTGGGAGCCATTCTGAACTCAAAATAAGGGAATGGAGTAACCATGCTCGAACATTCCCATTAATCATCTCTATTATTGTGCTGTAACACAACTGAATCAATCTTTTGATTCAGTCAGGAGTTAATGCAGTGTTGGGACTTCTGAATTTTGTCTTTAGATTCACTTATTTGCTATGTTCCTTCTGAAATAACTCCTGGCCTCCATGTACCTGGTTTGCACTAAGTCACACACCTGGGTTTGAAATCCTTACCCTCTCTGCCCACAGCTGTCAGGTAATTTGGTAACCAGGTGCAAAGATAAACCAATGTACCTTTAAAACCAACCAAGTGATGTGACTGTGTTGTCTTTGGGGTTCATTTCAGTATGCCATTGCAGTAAAGCGAGAGGAGATTGAAAAGATGAAGACCATAGCAAAGAATGAGGAAAAAAAGCTGGAAAAGGCTGAGAGAAGGATGGAGAAGGATGCTGCCAAGTTTGATGAGTTCCTGAAGGAGAACCACAATAACTCTGTTGAAGCACTGAGAATGTAAGAACATTGAAGGAACCACCTGTGTGCTATTTCATTCTGGGCACGGGGTTTTGCTGCTTGACCTCCCTGCAGGGTTTTGGTTGAACATTCTGAGTTTCCCAAAGTTACAGTTCTGGTGTACACTGTTCTTCCCACACATCCAATAAAAGAGAGGAAGGAGGACAACATCCAGGGAATATCCTCCTTGCAAAAGCCCTTGATCTGGTGGCAGCAAGGAACCTGCTGGTGGCTCCACCACTTCCACTCTTCTCACAAAACCCTTCGCTGGAGGCAGATGCCTCTACCCAACCCTTCAGAGAAGCAAATTGAACACTTTGGCCCAACACAGGTATCACAAGGGCACAGCTGCAACTGATGCTCAGCCAGATTAGGGAGGCCTGAACTCTGGGATGCCATCCTTTGCCAAGAGAAAGAGGATCTTCAGGCAGGAGCCAAGCATCCTCTGGGATACATCTGTAACAGAGTTCTAGGGCTCACATCATATCCTTTCACTGTTTCATAGGCACCTCAATTCCCTACTCACTACTAAATTGTTTAATGGCTTGTTTGTGCATCCTGTCCTAGAGCCAGAAGAGAAACCTCAGCAAAGACAAAGAAAATAACAGAGATCAATGGAATCACTACCCAGATAAAGAAAATCCAAAGGTAAGATTGGTCATTACTCCTGCCTCACTGTTAACAGCCCCTACAGTGCTACAGCTTCACAGCCCTTGCAGGGGTTAGATTTCTAAAAATGTTCCACTTTAAGAGTCAAAATGTTTTGGCTTTTGTTTTCCAGATGCTGGCTTTGTTTCTAAAACAACTAATCTAGTTTTCTAATGACATTTTTTAAAAAGTATAAATATTCAAAACCCAAAATTAAATTCTTAGCATCAGATTAAAATCCAAACAAAACTAAGTAATGCATTTTAATGGAGACCTAGGGAAAAACAAAAGAATAACTATAATTACCATTATGAGTTGAGCTGGAAAATTCTCTCATTCCTTTTCAAGTAAAAATTCAAGAATTAGCAAACTCAGTATCATAGCAAGAGATATGACCAGGACTGATTCTCAGTTTCCACATGAGAAACCACAGAGGGCAGGTTCTCTTTTGCTTTGGCTTATCCATGAAAACACGTATCCTCTCTCCCCTTCTCTGGATGAAACTCAATATCAAAAGTGAGCAAAAACCTATTCAAATAGGAGCTTCCCTCCCTGCTAACAAACTTTGTCCCCTTCTCTCAACCCAGTGATATCTCCAGATTCGAGGACACTCTGCAGGAGTACAAGATGTACAGGGACATCCTCTACCAGCTATCTCCAAGAGAGTGGCAGGAGAAGCACAGAAAAAGGTGCAAAAAAGAAAAGGATGTGAACACAGAATCCAGAGTTAAGGAAGGAAGTGCTTCACATCCCTCCACTGCAGAGCAGGGTGAGTGCCAGCAAAGGGCTGCTGCTCCTCCCTGGGCCAGCCCCAGGCTCTCAGTGGAGCTCTCCTCTTGTCTCCAGACCAGGATCCAACAGCCAGGACAAACACTGCTCACAGCTTCAGTTTCACGGATATACCAAGTTCCCTGATGTTTTCAGAAAGTTTGGATTTCAGGTCACGTGATGTCAGCCCCCAGCTTAAACAATTCCTGAAGCCTCTTTCATCAAGAGAACTGTAAGTACCAGAGATGCAAACAGTGAACTTAAGGACTGTAAAGAGCACTCAGCTGACTGGGAATCAGCTCAGGGGAATCCCACTGCTCACCTTTGCTGGGCACTCCAAGGTCTGGAGCTCATTGGAACAAATTCACATACAGCAGAAATGCCTGCTCCAAGTGAGCTCCATCCTCACAGCCTCTGCTGAGAGCCTGCCCCAAGTCTGGCTGTCACTAAGACGATGCAAACAGAGGTTTTTAACCCTTCATGGCACAGAGTGAGAGGTACAAGTGATGAGGAGACTGAGCTGCCAACAGCAGCAAGGCACCACTTCCCCTTCTTCCAGCTCTTATGTAGAGGAAGAAGCATTAAACAAAGTGAGTTTGAATGCATCTGGATCAACACCCTCAGTTCAGGCTCTTGTGTCATGCTCAAGCCCCACTGGCCAGCACACCCAGAGCAGCACAAAAGGCAGCTTGCTCATGGACAGCAATAGCTCCTGTGCTGCTTGTTCGTGTGACCCCTAAACCCTGCTGAGCCCTAAATATCCCACAGCTGCAGGGAGGCAAAGGTGGGAAGGTGCAGAGGACTGTTCAGGAGTAAAGAGTGGCAGTGAACAGTAACAATGTTCACATGTCACTAACGAGATCTCCTCTGAGCTGTCATTTCTCTAAGGGCCTAACACACAAAATGCTTTTTCAGAAGTTCACTGGAGGATGCCGACAGTGAAATCAGCTCGGATGAAGATGAGGTCAGAAGTCTTGTGCTGAAATATTTGCATTTTCTGTTTGTCCTGTGTCATTTATTGATATTACACCTTCTAACCATTAGTGACAGTATTGAGGAATTACTGTAGTTACAAATTATATGTTTATACTTTCGTAAATGATCACGTTTTGGCAACACATATTATAAATACCTTAGTTTAACTTTCCTCCTTCAGTTTCCAAAAACCTACCATCATCTCTAAGCTTGCCATCCTACAGTGAGATATGACATCATAAAATGAAAGATTTTTAAATTAGTGCAATTACTGACTGATGTCTGAAATTGAAGTTTTCCCACTCACAAATGTTTGCAATGCCTTTTACCCTCCAAAATACAATTTGTTTTGGGGGTGAGCTGTTGAGGCAGAGTAAAGCCACGCACATATCAGGAAGGATGTCCCTGTATGTCTGTACATGGACAAACATGGACCTCTCCAGATGGGAGAATGTTTGAATAGCCAGGGCTGGTGCAGACCAACCTCCACGTAGCTCAGTGGAACAGAAGCCAGAGGAGGGAAAAAATTCACCACACGTTTTCCACCCTAGGAGCCTGAGCTTTATTTTACTCATCCTGAACAATTACTGATTACTTTCACGGAGATGTTGGATGAGAACTTGTCCTTCGTCCTGAACTCCCAGGATATCGCAGAGAGTTGGAACAAGGTCCAGCAGACTTTCATCACCACACGTGACAGCATGTAAGTGTGACCCTGCAAGGGATGGAAGGGGTCTCTGTGGTCCAGCTTTCAGACTCAAGTGACCCCTCTGCCCTACAGACACCTCAGTGCCAGGCACACACCACAGAGCACACGTAATGCTGTTCACACAGCAGGGTCTTTGGGAGCTCCTAGGAAGGTGTCCCATATATGCCTTATTTAGGAGATAAGACTTGAGCTTGGGACCAATTCCTCAGTCCTCAAGGCACAGGCTAGGGAATGATGCATTAAGCATCCTGGAGTCAATATAAGTGTAGTGTAATTCTCATGAAGGAAGACCAAAGAAAGGAACAAGGCAATTCCTGGAGTGATGCAGAGCAGCACCAATGCTGACTCAGTGCAAAACCTTCCTAGTCCTTGTAATCTACAATTTCAATGGCAGGTAGACATATATATTCCCATTTAAAATTTAGCTTATTTCCTTTTGGAAGTTTTAAAAGTAATCTGGATCCCCCATTGACTTACTAAAAAACCTTGAATGTTTAGCTATGGTACTTCTCCCTCCCCCACACCAGGACAGTAACTGCTTTTCAAAACAAAACCAAACTCAAAGTTCCCTGTGCCTTCAGGGCCGTGGGTGCAAGTTCCCAGGAAAGGCTGCAGTGTTACCTCCACCTGCCGGCAGCAGGAGGGACCAGCCCGGGCTGTGGAGAGCAGAGCTGCGTGCTCCAGAGATGCCCTTTCCAAATACCTCCTCCCCCTGTGTCTCCTCTAGGGAGAAGGAGCTGGCAGAGCTGAAAGAGCAGGTGAACACCCTCCGAGACTCTGTTGCCAAGGAAGAAGAGAAAGTAGCCGACCTGAAGCTCAAAGTTCAGCGCTTTTCCTCTGGAGAGCACGAGGGTGATGGCCAGGTACGTGTTGGGATCCAGGCAAGGGGGGTTCACATGTGCACAAGTGGTTCCTGTCCACAGCCACATCCACCCCGGGAGCAGAGCAGACAGGGCTGGACTGAGGAGGGAGCAGGGCTGTGTCCCAGCCATGGAGCCACAGCAAGGCTGGTTTGGGGCACTGCTGAGGCAAACGTGTGTGCCCCATGCAGCTGCTGCGAGGTGGGAGCAGGGCTCACAGGGACAGCTGGGCAGCTGCCACCTGACCCAGGTCACAGCCAAGCTGGGACGATGGCAACAGCAGAATGGCTCAATTCAGCCATGTGTCCCTGCCATTGCCATTAGCCAACCAGGAAACAAGCAATTGAGTCTTATTGAGGGGATTAAAGTGTTTCCTTTATGGATTTCCTTTGGGTTTGGAGGGATATTATGGCTCTACTTGGCAGAATCCAGCTGTGCCACTCCCCATATCTCCTGTCACCTCTAGGACAAAATGCTCACAAGCCTGAACAAGAAGGTGCTGGAAGTCTATTCCAACTGCACTGGAGACAATGAGACAAACCTGCCAACAGTAGAGATGTTAAAGGTGATAGAAAAAAAGCTCAACGATTTACTGGACAGTGTGGAGAGAATCCCACCTGCAAAGATAGAAAAGGCTGTGAAAGCCATAAGAAAGGAACAGAGGGCAAGGTAAGGCAAGACCCTCTTCTGGAAAGCATCTCTATTTTAAGTGCTGACAGCTGAAAGAGCCAAATCAGCCCAAAAAAAACTGTAGTAACAATCTGAAATCATGTGAGCAATCCATCCAATTTTACTTCTGTAAAGGTTCTACATTCATAGTACTTGCATCTCCTCGTCAGTGAGCAGCAGCCCACAGCTACATTAGAAAAGACCTGCAAACTACAGTAGAAAAATCTAGACTAAAAAAACACTAAACCTACAACCAAAAACTGATTCTATGATGAGAATCGTCACTTTAATAAAACAATTTACAGTCACAAAATTTAAACTGAATAAATAGAAAATTACATCTCAAGTTAACACAGTCTGCTTTGACCTGATATTTTGCCAGACTTTAATATGTACATAAGGGCATTTGTCAACAACTCCAGCTTTGAAATGTTTATTCCACAAAACTTTTAAGTTTAACTTTTATTACTAGATTAAATAGTAGCAATTAACACAATCAGTGTAAATCCCAAGATGAGACACATTCCTGTAGGCCCAGTTACACAAAATTTCACCTCACAAATAAAAGATAACTGAGCTGATGACTGTATCTGGCCATCCTCAAGTGAATCAGACAGATTAGCAGGAGGATTCAAAGCCAGACAGTGACATTTCACTTCTGCTTATTCTCTTTCTCTGAATCCTTATTCAGCTGTGTAGCAGAAAAGGTATGGTGCTTCTTCCTGATGTTCTGTGAATGGGTTTGCACTCTTACATTGCAAAATAAGTAAGACACACATTTATTCTACGCTAGGGATGGAGAAGAATAATTCAAGAAAGATACCACACATCCTACCCCCAAATAAAAATTAAAAAAAAAAAACCAAAAACAAACAAACAAACAAAAAATCCTACAAAGACCATTAAACATTTTCCTCAAGTTTACAAAGTTAAGACTGCAGTTTCTCTGCACCAGTGTCCCACAGCTTGAGCCCATTTCTGTTCCAGTACTTCATTTTCATAGGGAAGTGAAACAACAGTATTGGCTCCACTGTGCCCCTTTGGGCCAAGTGCAGCTCCATGGGTGTTCCCTGCTGCTCACACCTGTGTGTCACAGACCTGGTTACCCTGCTGAGAACTGGGGATACAATAGAGGATACAATAAGCACCACTCCTCCCCACAGCTGGCGAGTATCCTGCTCCAGTGCAGGGTGTAAGGCACCTGCTGAAGGGGGTGCAGAACTTATCTGTAACAGAACAGCTGCCCAACAGTTGTGTCAAAGCCTGGCATGATTTTCCACCCATTACTGCAGAAAGAGTAGGGCCAACTGCAGGCAGTGCTTCCCTCTTACCCCCTTCACAGCAACCAACTCCAGCAGCAGGTGTGCCCAAACCCTGTGCTGCGGTGGTTAGATGTAAGGTGTGATGTAAGATGTAATGTTAGACGTTGGTGCTGTGTGTCAAAAGCACAGCTGGTGCAGCTGCATGCTGCATTTAACACATCCTTTATTCTCTCTCTTCAAAAGGCTCAGAGAGGAAAAGCTGAAACAAGCAAAGCAGCAGCAGGATGAAGGATTGAAAAGGGACATGGAAAGATCACAGGTACCTGAAGAAAAAAAGGTGAGTACGGTGGTCTGTGGAAACACCTCACCTCAACCCCAGAAGCTGGGGGTACCTGAATATGAAGTGTTCAAGGGAAAAGTGTTATTAAGGGGCCTCTGCAGCTGTGCGGGAATGGCACCTACAGCCAGGGGTAGCCCGATTTACAGGAGTGATGTAACTTAAGCCACTGCTGGGAAGTCAGTCACAGTGCACATTATTCCAGCTCAGGGTCCTTCCATCATCCTTCTCTCAACTACGTGACCCCCTCCACTACTTGCCATTTCTCAGTAGGCTCATTTCAACTCATTAACTTAGTTGTATTAAACCAAGCAGGAAATTTGGCAAATGAGGAGCTGGGCAGCAGCAGGACACTCCTGATAACAGCAGCAAGGCCCTAGATCAGCTCAGCCATACCATCTAACCACAGCTTTTCTGACATGTTGCACATCCTCCCAAACTGAGCTCTGACCCCCTGAGAGTGCAGAGCTTCTGCCTTGGCTGCTGCTGCAGCTTCCCCAGGTCAACACAGCCCTGAGGAGACCCCATGACAGCACAGGCCATGAGCCCCTGCCCTTTATCCAAGAGAAAATAGAGGGTTCTGCAGCCTCCCTCTGATATTTCTTTGGATCTCCAACTTTCCCTCCTCTTCCTGACTCAGGACTAATGAGGCTTTAGTCAGAAAGCAGTTGTAGGTACAACGGTGAGAACACACACACATCCTTCAGGTGCTTCACATGGACTTCCCAATTCAGAAGCACAGTCAGCAGACTCCCTGCAGCCTGCCTAGAGCACAGGACAAGGGCCACAGCCCCTCCCAGCCTGAGCACAGAGCACCTTTAGCTGCCTGGTCAGACACCCTACCGAGCACTGATGCACACCTCTTCCTCCTCTGCAGAACTACAAGAAAATGGCCTCACCTTCCAAACCACCTGCCAGGAAGGAGAACAACCAAGGAAATAAATAAGAAGGAAGAATAATTGTATTATTTCTCCTGATGGCACAGCCTTAACCATAGCTCATAGGGCTGATGCCGTTCTAGAAGACTTCTAGATTTACATTCTGTCAGTCTTTGCACAGCTGAAATTAACTGTCCCATGAAATTTCCTTCTTCTCCTACCTGAAGATTCCAGGGAAAGTTTGCAAACTTCTTCCCCTTCGTTTGGTATTTTGCCTAAGAAAATAAATAAAAAATCTCTCATTTTGCTTCTCAAACTCCTGCTAAGCACCAATGCTGTTCTCATTCAGTTTTTGATGTCAATAGCACTATCCATACAAACCTGAGCAGTGAGATCTGTAACAGTCCTAGGTGACCATCTTTGTTAAGGCACAACTAAGCCAGGTACCTCATAGAAATTTATGATAATCACAGGTCTTCTGAAGGACTATAAAAAGCAAGGTCTATGCTCCAATCCAAAGCCATTATAGACTTCACCCCACTACAGTGGAGAAGATGCAAACGAAGGAAAAACACAAACTCTCCGCAGAAATCAAGCTGCCAGTAATTAACTTTGTGTCACATGCATCCATGCAAAAAACAATACCCAGTGACAAAGTGACCATAAAAAAAAAGCTTTATTAACCTTTTTGCACCAGCAGTTCTTCAGGTATCCATTGCCAGCAATGGAGCCCAAGCCAAGTGATCCAAGTTCCCACCCTCAAGAGGTTAACACTTTACATTCACTTACAAAGCTGAGTGAGGTACATTTTCAGAAGTAGAAAGATTTGGTTGCAAGTCCCATAAAAAGATGGAGTGTTCCTTGGCCATTTTAATGGATTACAAACTGGTATGGTCCTTGAGAACAGAATAATGCAGGCATTGGGAGCTCGAGGTTTCTCAGCTTCCAGGGAGAGCAAGACCCTTGAGCACAATCCCTCCTCAATCTTTCCACCTCTCAGGAGTGGGCTCCATGCTGCAGTCACAGCCACCAGGCGGACCTCAGCTACCAACTGGTTTGAAAACCCAGCCTGAGAGGGTTCAGACTTTCCCTGGATTTAAGCTGTAAACTCAGAGTGAGAGGAACAGAGAGACCTCAGTGCTCAGTTAGGCTAAAGATAGAAAAATAAAGCTGGTTCAACCAGACATATAATACTGCCTACAAATCAGAAGCTGAAGTTCATTGTAACCTGTATGCTTTTTTCCTCCCCAAGTCTGCAATCAAAAAGCATTTATATGGACACATACATAGTTCAAAAGGCACAGGAAGTAAAAGCATTTCTGAACGACCTCATGTGAATTTAACATCAGTATAACTGTAAAATAAATAAATATGTGCAAGATTAAAAAGATCACAACGTTCTCCTCTGTGACATATCTTATTTTGTAAAAAAAAAGAAAATACACATACGTGCATACATACACCTCACTGAGAATAAAAAAAAAAGTACAAACAGCCTTTTATCAAACTCCTATACATACTTTTACAGGCATTCAGAACATCACCATAGGAAACATTTAAATTACTATCTTAAAACATAACCAAAGGTGGTTTTTTTCCCTATACAACCCTATATTATTTAGGTGTCTGCAATCCAGGTAAGTAGAGTACATACAACCTCTCCCCCCACCCCCAAGAGAAACTGCCGTTTTTCAGGGGCAAATCTTCCTGGGCAACAACTGTTTCCCCCTCACAAAATACTCTGACAACTGCATATTTTGTAAACCAGCCAGAAACCCCAGGTGCATGTGACACTCTGGGATAGCAATAAAGAACACATGTTAACAGTGTTCAATTAACAAAACAAAAACATCAAACAACCCTAAATAAAAAGGTAGTGACCAGTTCACAGGTAACTTGGCAGCGGTTTATAGATGAGATAAAAATCAAGGTGCTTTAATTTACATGACGGTCAACATTCCTCCCAAAAAAAGGGAACACAAAGATAAAACAAACCTCTCTCAGATGCTGTTGGACTCTTAGCTAATCACTTACAGTGAGTACAGTTCTATTGCAGTTTTCTTTTTCAAGTTTTGCTGGAAGAATTCAGCAAAGTATTTGGGATGCAGGAGCAAGGAAAGGGAGAAACTCAACATGAGCTACAAACTGATTCACAGCTAAGTTAACATTTAGAATCTAGTTTTCTAAAACAAAGATTTTAGAGCATCTCATTTTCATGGCATAGAACATTAATTTTGTTACATGTGACACTTTATTCTGGTTTTCTGCCAAACACAGGGGCCGAAACAATTCTTTCTGTGTGTGTATGTGGTAAACACTTGCAAAATTTAGCTCTTAATTCCTTGATGCCACTGGCTCCAGGAGACCAATGAAAGGAAAGTTTTAACTGTCGTAGGCAGGATTATAAATTTGCACTTGTTAGCTGTAGAATACTTGCTTTCCTGTGAAAACAGTAAATATTACCTCAGTTTGAAGTGTAATAAAGTACTTCTCCCTGAAACAACACTGTACAGCAGTCTGCCTCAGCCTCCCAACCACCAGGCAGACAGGGTATCTTACACAGGCACATCAAGTGGGATTTACATTTTGAAAGAAAATCTTTCAGCTGCAACTGTCTTAAGGAAATCACAAAGAGTGCAACCATACTTCAGTTCTCCTACTTTTCATATTTTCCTTGGAAAAAGACCCACACAGTAACCTCACTCTGTCATGATTGCCCAATTTGTTTTCAAGTAACTGTTCTTAGTAATCATCATTCCAGATCCTGTAAATTTATTGTGCTTCCAGTGAACTGAGAGTTATCAGAACCTGCATCGTCTTCAGTGGAATTGTGTGGTTCCTGTTAAAGCAAACAGACAGCATGAAATACTTTCACCTCTAGATGGTTTCAGTGCTTATCAGCAAGATTATCTTGGCATTTATCCAACACCAGAGAAATGCTTGGAATGGCTCAGAGGAAACCCAAAGCTTTTCCATTTCAGGGATCCACCCAAACAGTGTTGCCAGTTTTTCTATGGACACTTCAGATAAACATTACTAATAAAAACAGATTTAAAATCACTTTTTCCTCCATTAACTCTCTACCATGGTCAACAGTCCCACTCCTCTTGTACTTCTAGGTTTTGGGGAAGGTGCCCCTCCTCAACAAAAAAGGTTTCTTTTCTATCCAGGAGAAGCACATTTGGCAGGAATAGATATATTGCAGACTTCATCAAAAATGATGTCCCCAACCAGGCTTTTAAACATAACTGACACTCCCATAAGGGCACCACTCTGAAATCTAGGTTCAAGATTTATTTCCCACTTCCCACCCCTTCCTACAGCATTCCAATTCTGATACTCTTTCTCAACCCACCTAGTATCTGCAGGATGTGATCAGGAAAACAAGGGTGGGGTATTTCAGAAAAAATGAGTAACATTTAGGTATTCATTACTCAGTAACAGAGGGAAAAAAAACAACCACTTCTGATGGGTCAAAGGTCGGTAACAGACACAAGCTAAATTGTGCAGTGAAGCACTCTGCTTACTATTCCTTGTGAATGGAATTCAACTCCCAATGGAAAACAAGGTATTTTCATCAGGCAGAACATGAGAGTGCTCACAGTAAACCGTCTTTACCTGCAAGGCAGGCAATAAAACTCAGTGGCTTGACATGCTGTACCTGAAGTATGTGAACAGGTAAATCCACTGTGAGCTGAGAATGTGACGAGGAAGACTGAGAGCTCAGCTGAAAGGGAAGATCTCCCTCTCCTGGGGAATCATCCTGTGAATGCAGAAACATGATGAAATTACACAACCTCCAGATATCTCAGCACAATATGGCAAATTTCACTCAGTCTCACAATCTTAAAATATCTGATAAAGCCACTGCACTGTACTAGTAAGGCCTAGCTCCACAAAGATGTGGAAAGCAAACTACAACTTAAATCTGAACCTAGCTCAGTGAATAATGTATTATGCTGTCCTCATCAACTTGGAACTTTGGCAAGATCTGAACAGGAAGGAATGGTTCCTTTTTCAGCAAATCTAACACTCAGAAACATGCAACAAGTTTCATCATGTTTTCATGAAGCTGATACTTAACATGGAAGTTAAAAACGTGTACGCTCATCAAAAAACAGATCCATGGAGAACTCTGCCCATAGGGATCTCCACACCAGAGTTGTTAGGAATAAAGGAGAAGGAACTTACCCTTTCTCTGAATCTATTACCTGTCATGCTCCATTAATCACTCCCCACCAATTATTAGGCTGTTTTGCCTTTTTTTTTTTTTTTTTAATTTTAAGCCTTATTTCAACGGGTAAGAGAAAGAACAGTTTAGGCTGAAACTTCTTTTTGCAGGAACATTTTCATATCCACTCATTTACTTTGTAAATAAGAGATGGAATAATGTAACAATACTGCAGAGCTCAAGACCCCTTCCAGGGGCAGTAGTACCTGCACAAACACTCAAATTCTTCCATAAATGCAAGTCTGGATAACAGAGAAGCTGAGCATGTTTTTTTTTTCCTCAGCTCTTACCTGAAGAAGCTGAATTTGCACATACTGGGCTCCAGTGGCAGGGTCCCTTATTGTCAGCCCTCCATTTGGCAGAACTATGTTACCACCCAGTCGACTGCCAGGAGTAGATGAAGAAAAGTTGGTAGGGCTTACTTTACCACCTTTGCTTTTTCTCTGACCAGAGCCAGATGCCCCTAAAAGAAAGCAATTTTAATATTTAGATGGTGAGGAATAATTTACCAGTTTCCTGCTAGTATTTTTCAACTTTTTGCAGCTGTTTATACCACTCAGCAAATGCCCACAACAGTGCAACATAATCAAGCACCATCTGACAACTGCTAAAAGGCCAGAGAGCACTCAGCTCTGGTGAACTCCAGCTGCTGACTGAGCACCTTTTACCTGAACACCATTGAAAAAAATCACAAGCTGCTAAGCTTAAGAGTCCTTCCTTGTGGTAGCACAGAAATATAAGCTTATTTATGGTATTATAGAAAGGAATTAGGAAGTAGGATTGCATTTTCTATTTTTCATTTTGCAACTTACTTCCTAAGAAGTCATGCACGTGACCTTTCTAAATTGTAAAAGGGCATAGTGAAGATCATGATTTACAGGAAGATTTCAGGGACTACTAGGTAGAACAGGCTACACAAGTACACCTATCACAACCTTAAGCTTTTTTCAGTGTAAAGCAGGAGGAACTAGCTGCTTTATCACAAGCTGGAAACCAAAACCCTAATCAAAACAAATGTAAGAATACAGTCCTGTCAGCTCTTCAGGTTTTTGTTTGGATTTTTTTTTTAAATCTGTAATAAATGAAGGGCTTGGATAACCTATATTTAAACACTGAACTTCCCTCTACAGTATTCATTCAATCTAGTTAAACCAATCAGAAATATAAGACTCTCTAGACCACTTTGAGAAGCACAGCATACCATTAAGGCAACAGCTGGTGAAAAGTCGACTATTGAGAGTCTTGAACAGGAACAGAAACAGGAATTTTCTGAGGTCATCTTAGGAGTCGTGCAAAGTACAATCATATTTTTTAAACTAACGTCCAAAACACATGTTTGATGATACATGCACGTGTTTGATGACACAAGGCCCTTCAGAACCAGCTTCATAAAGCACTTATCCTTCCAGGTAATGATTTGCTGAACCAGACAGAATGTATGCACATATGCATTTTACAAATGCACAAACAGTTCTAACAAAACAGTTCTCACACCAGAACTAGTCTCTTAACTCGCCTCAAAAACTATTGCCTTGATTTTCAGAAGAGGAATGTCTGCAAGACAGCAAAGCAACACTAAACTCACTGTATATTTATGATATATGTTTGCATTGATACATCATAAACATATGCTATTCCACCCCAGCCCCAAAGGCAGACACAACTCAAACACCTGAGCTCGTTCAAGTCCAGTGAAGCATGGACCATATTTGATCTGAAAAAGGAATGGTTATTATTTACATCATATGGCTTTGAGTCAAACTAAGAGGACACAGCTGGAATCATGACCTAAACTCGCCCTGCACAAGAACTCCCCACAGGGCTAAAGTATAAGAGAGAGGTTTGAGTATACACAGATAATAAAAAAATAAATTCCTTAACACTAAGTGAAACATAGAAGCAAATTCTAGCTGATATTTCCAGTGTCTGTACTGAGAAAAAGAAGCCCCTAGATACGACCAAAAGCATAAACAACAGAAAGTACAGTGATATTATTTTTTGTTTTGATAAGAAAATAAGCAGCAGATGAAAAGATGGACAGTTAGTGTCTTGTTAATAATCATGAAACATAGGACACAGCTTTCTTTGTAAACTTCCTGTGAATCTGATATTTCACAGAATGTGATTATCCTGAGAAACAGATGGTACACTACATGCATAATTATTTTAACTATCAATAAACAGTATAGGACATTTAAGAATGTTACTCAGAAACCTGCTCCCACTGCACTGCCAAAATTGCTAAATATTTTTATTTAGTAAATTTAACAGAATTAATGGCTTCTCACCTGTGCTGCTGCCATTCCCTTTTTGTTTCTTTTTCTTGGCCAGCTGAATGGCTCTGTAGTCTGTTCTTGCAGACCCACAGCTCTCCTAGTTTAAAAAAAAAATGCCCAGAGATGCAAGGTTTTTGGAAATAAGAACAAAACAAGACAATGAACACAGACTAGTAAATTCTCACACACAGTTATCTTCTATACTGCAAACACTGAATTCTAGTTTCCCTGACCTTCTGATTAGAGTTTCAACGAATTCCCTGTATCTAATCAACTTCTGGAGTTCAACACAAGAAGAAGTTAGCTCCACATTTTTAAGTGTTCAGATTTTACGAGTGTAAACATTTAGTTTGTAATGTAAACAAAAAGTTAAGTCTGCAATAACACAGTGAAGCAGAAAGGGATATGTACTTAAAGAGGAATGAGGGCTGGGATGAAAATGCTGCAGTTACTGTTACAGCCCAAATCCTTCCCTGGAGTGAAAGGAACAAGTAACACTTGTAACACTTATTCTTGGGTGTTCTTGCAAATTCCATTTAAGATGGATGGCTACTTCTTTAGAAAGGTTCTTCCTGAACTGTCCCCACCACAATTTCAGCATTTCTTAGAACTTGTCAGCACACTGAACCTACCTGTGAAAGCACACTACCCAACACATCGTTCTACATCTTTCATCAAAAGAGAGCCAAAATGCATGATCTGCAAAATCTGAAAGGTGTCCCTATAAGGTGTGAGCAGCCAGGGGTATCCCCAAGGTCAGGCTGTCTCATCTAGGGGTGAATACTCCTAGTTACTCCATACCAAAAATGAGCTGCCAGTCACTGCGCCAAGATCCATTTCCTTCTGTGCACTGTAACTCCCTGGAGGGTTGGAGAACACAAACTGTGTCACTACTTTACTGCCCTCCTGCTGACCAACCACATCTGAGATGGGAAGCAAATTCCGTTCAGCTTTAACTGGTGTCAGTAACTCAGGCACATTGGTGCTGCCGAGGCTGCTGGAAGGAGTCAAAGTGGCTGTGTCTATTGTTAAATTATTGCTGGATGTCAACCCGTGCACATCCTGACTGGAATTCCTCACTGACAGAGATGCCAGCGAACCCAAGGCTTCGGCATTGACAGTCTGTACATCATCCAGATTTAAAGTGCTTTGCTGTAGAACCGTTGCACTGGTTCCCAGCAGGAGAGAACTGTCCAGGCTGTGGGGCATGTCGCTGCTCGCCACCAGGATCAAGGGATCAACTGCCTGGCTTAGGGAATTGGTACTGACAGGCAGGGTCCCTCCGAGCGTCGAGCCCACGGAAGCAACATCGATCGTGACAATTCCAGAGTTCACCAGCGCCATGTCTGTTGTAATTCCAGAATTGTTATTGGAAACATTGGAAAACAGGGATACGAGGTCGATGTTGCTGAGATCACTCTGCCCTGGACTAGTGAGTTCACTGCTGGGGGTGAGGGAGCTGGTTGCTTCCAGCTGGGTTAGGAGATCTGGAAGAGAAGGGTTTGGTTATAAGACAGGGATTCCACAGACAACAGGAAGAAAAGGAAGCTTAAAATTCTATAAAATTCTATATTCTCAGGCTACTAAAACACTGAAAGCAGATTTAAGGAAAAGCAACCTATTGAAATAAGTTCATTCCTTTACTGAGAAGTGTGAGTTACAAAAGCACTTGCCAAAAAACAACACTAAGGCAGTGCAGGCTAAGTGCAGGCTGTAGAGGAGTGAAAGGGGTGAAAAGGGAAATCCTTTTAGTCCTTGTTCATATTTTACAGATGGCATGGAAAAGGACAAGCTCTTCTTCACTGAAAAATGCTGCCATTTCTCACAATTTCAGAGGTCAAGCTCAAGGATCACTTTCAGAGATCCCACCGAAAATTTTAGAGGAGGGTGAAACCAATTTCAGTCTCAGTCTGTCATTCACATCTATGGAACTCAGATTTCAACATCAGTAATTACACATTTTCCTTAATAGAACACTTAATTTTTCCACTGCACCTTCTGATAGCCAGAGACAAACCCTTTACCTGGGCTGAAGTTATGCTGCTTGACCATGTGCGCCTTCATGCTGTGTTTGGAAGTGAACAGTTTATTACAGCTGGAAACAGGGCACCGAGTTTTTAACGAGTCCACATCCTGAAGATGTTTTTTGGAGTGAATATACAGACTACTTCGTGCTGAAAATTTTGCACAACAGCCTGAAAGAAGATATATAAGGCTTTGTAGTTTCAAATTTAATGAAGCTTAATGTTCATATCTAATGCCTTAACAAATCAGAGTGCCCTCTACTTGCTATTCTGCAGCACCTGTGCATACACTCAGAGGAACCACAAGAAAGTAAATCTGTCAGAGGGTAGGACAGTTTAACAACCTGTTTCTTACAACACAAAACTTAAGTCACTCATTGTAAAGCACAGCCTTTTCACACTATGGCATCTGAAAATCTTCATGACAACTGCTGGAAACACCATAAAAAGGAGAAACAATCATCAAGTAGAGATACTTTACTTTAAAAATCTGAATAATCCAGATCACACCCAAAAATCTTTGCTTCTGGAGTTCCACTGAAGTGGTGAGGGTGGTCAAGATACAGTATGAAACAGTTTGCTCTGTCATTCCTAACTCTGGGAATTATCACTTGTTCAAGTCTTCAGTTTAGTTTTACATCTTCAAACCCTGTTGAAGACTCACTCTAAATTGTTCCAGTCCTGTACCAAGCACACATAACCTTTAGACAAAATACACACCAGTTACAAGGAAACACATAAAGGAGTGGAGCAATACCTTCTACTGGACACTCAAATGGTTTTGTACCAAGGTGAGTTATGCTGTGACCTTTCAAGTGTTCTGCTCTGGTGAAGGACTTCCCACAGCCTTCTACTGGGCACATGAATCTCCTGTCATCTTCATGTTTCCTACAAGGGAAGAAAATGGTCATTGGCATGATTAAATCCAGTATTGCTTAGCTACTGGAAGAGAAATAAAGAGAAGCAAACAGCCAGTTGCTTAGGACAGTATAATCAGAAAAAGCTTCCTTTACCTTTTATGCCTCAAAAGCTTGGACATACTGGTAAAAGACCAGCCACAGCCTTCAAAGTCACAGATAAAAGGTCTTTCACCTTGAATAAAAAAAAAAATGTTACATTAACAGTCTAATACAAAAACCCATACTGCTACAAGAAAATATTAAAACCTGCTAGAGATGAATTAATTTAAGACAAGACAACTCAACCAGCCTCTCCTGCAATGCACTAGAGAGTACTGCCATGTCTCTTCCCCCTCCCACAATCTGGGCTTTCTTTAACTCCACTATTGCATCAGAGAGCACAGGTATTTATCAATCCACCTCATATCCTGAAGATGCTTCAATAGCCAATATCAGCATTACTCAAAACAGAAACACAACTGAACTGTTTTTTCCTGTTTTCATTATCTCTCACTGTGTCTTGATTATAAAACTGTGAAGCATGTCAGATCGGTTTCCATCACACTTATGAACTTCAAATGACACTTCAAAAAACCTCAAAACTGTAAAACCATGAAACCAGGAAAAAAAACAGGACAGTAGAGGACACATCAGTAACATGACAAGGCTGTATTTCAGCTTTGCAGTGGTTCTTGGTTGGGCGTGCTTGCCAGAGATGAAATTTATCTTCTTGCTGGTCCAAACCTTGGTACCTACATTCCACATGTTCTGAGAGTTTTTTACCTGTTTTTTACCTGTTTCTTTGTATCAAGAGTAACATTTACACAACGTTTTGAACATCTATAAACTTGGAAACAGAGCTGGGATAGTTTTTTTCTGGACAGAATGCACAATGACAAAAGCCACAGCTTTGCATGGGCTTAACCTCTTCCAATATGACAGCTTGATTCAGTGGACTCCTATCCCCAGAAGGCCAAGAATCAAATGCTTTCACTGACTCCAAATAACTGTCACCCTTCCTGACTTGCAGTTTTTCCAGCACACTGAAGTCCACTTTCCATATACTATGCTCCATGTACCTCCCCGTGTACAAGTCATCCCTGTGAATACCTGTGTGACTCCTCATGTGGATTTTCAGTCGGCACGCCTTGTCATACTGCTTGTTACAGCCAGGGAATGAGCAGGAGAACTGCTCTTGCTCTCTGAAATGGGCTCGATTGTGGGAGAATAATGCACTCACTGTGATAAACGTTCGCTCACAGCCTGGGGAGAAAAGGGAAACAGCACATTTGCTTGACTCAGTCACGAAAACTGCACTCTTATCTCCCTCCCAGCTTTTAGCGAAGTACTTCCATGATTGTTTTCCAGGATATTACATCGGGGGAAAAAGAAAAAACCAAACAGTGAAATCCTAAACATTATTCCCAGGAATTACAATTGTTTTGCCAAGGTGGGCAAACAAGTATAGCCTGGGTTAAGGCGCACCCATTGAAAGCTGGCGCCGTGTCTTGCGGTATTTCACTGTACAAACACAAAGTCACGGGAGGAAAGGCACAGCATCCTCCAGCTCCCAAACTTTTCCTCTTGGTAACTGAGGTGGCCCGGAGGAGAACCTTCCTGGACACTCTGGGGTACCACGGAGGGGAAGGAGAAGCAGGGTGGCAGAAGAATCGAGCCGAGCGCCGCACGGCCTCAGGGCAGGGATCGCAGCTCCTGGAAGGGGAGGGAAGGGAGCCCAGCCCCAGAGGCGGCTTACCGGGGAAGTCGCAGCGGTAGGGCCGCTCGGGCTCCAGGTGGCTGCGGCGGCGGTGGGCGGCGAGGCGGGCGGCGCTGGGGAAGCGCTGCCCGCACGCCTCGCACTTGTGCGCCGCCTCCTGCTCGTGGGCGCGGCTGTGCGCCCGCAGGTTGTACACGGTGGTGAAGCGCTTGGCGCAGCCCGGCGCCGCGCAGACGAAGGGCCGCAGCTTGTCGTGCGAGTGCAGGTGCCGCCGCAGCTTGTAGGCCGTGGCGAAGGACCAGGCGCAGCCCGGCACGGGGCAGCCGAAGGGCCGCGCCGCCGCGCCCCGCCCGTCCTCGCCGCCGCCGTGCGCCGAGAGCCGGTGCAGCCGCAGCTGCTGCTTGCGGGGAAAGGCCTCTCCGCAGCGCGGCTCCGGGCAGGGGAAGGCCGGCGGCGAGCGCGGGCGCGGCCCGCCCGGCGGCCCGGCGGGGCTGGCGGCGGCGGGGGGCGCGGTGCCCGCGGGCTGCTCGGCGCCGGGCCCCAGCGTCAGGACGCCGTTCTCGATGCGCACCAGCAGGCTCTGGTTGTTGATGGTGATGGTCCCCGAGAAGGCGCCGTCCTCCGCCCCGCCGCCATCGCCGCCCGCGGGGGGCAGCGGTGCTGGCGGCGGGGGAGGAGGAGGCGGCGGCGGCGGCGGGGCCGAGCCGGGGGCCTCCTCCGGCGGCTCGGCGGGCGGCTGGCCGGGCTGGGCTCGCCCGGCTTCGCCGCCGCCCGCGCCGGGCTCGGCCGCGCCGCGCACCACGTTGAAAACGAGCAGGAGCCCGTCGCTGTCGGGCGCGGGCCCCGCCGGCGGCGCGCTGGGCGCCGGGCTGGCGCCGGGCTCCGGCTTCTCCTCCACCAGCAGCACCGGGAAGCTCACGTAGAGGCCCGGCGCGGCGGTGCTGCCGGCGGGGGAGGGGGCGGCGGCGGCGGGCGGCGGGTCCCAGCCGGGCGGCGGCGGCGCGGCGGGGCCGCCATGTTGCGCGGCGGGCCGGGCCCGGGCCGCCTCCGCGGCCGGCAGCCCCTGCGTTTCCATCTTGGGGGTCCCTGTAGCAGCGCCTGAAACCGGAGCCGCGGGGCGGGGCCGGCGCGGGCCGCAGCGGAAACGCGGAGCGCGGAACCGCGGAGCGGGCGCGGCGCGCGCGGCGCCGGGGAAACCCGGAGAGCGGAGCGGCGGATGGGACGGAGCGGGGCTGCCCCGGAGCAGGGAATGGCACAGCGGGGAGCGGCTCATGCGACATCCAGCGTGGCACTGCTGGAGTCATCTCAGGTCCTGAGAATGGTGCTGATGTCCTTGCTAATGGCCAGGAAGAGTCCCAGAAGAATTAAGGTTGGAAGAGACCTCTGGAGATAACCCAGTCCAACGCCCCGGCCAAGGCATGGTGACACCGAGCAGGTGACACAGGAACACGTCCAGGTGGGGTTTGAATGGCTCCAGAGAGACTCCACGCCCTTCCTGGGCAGCTGTTCCACCAGCTGTTCCAGTGCTCAGCCAACCTCAATGTAAAGAAGTTCTTCCTCATGGGGAGGTGAAATGTCTTGTGTTTTAGTTTATGGCCATTGCTCCTCATCTTGTTGCTGGGCACCACTGAGAAGACTCTGGCACCATCCTCATCCAAAACTTGACACCTAACTTTGAGATGCTTACATACACTCATGAGATCCCCTCTCTCTTCTGTAGAATAAACAAGCCCATCTCCCCCAGTCTCTCCTCATTGGAGAGGTGTTCAGACCCCAACTCACCTTTGTGGCCCTTCACAGAACCCTCTCCTCTAGCTCCGTGTCCTTCTCATACTGAGGAGCCCAGAACTGGACACAACACCCCAGACGTGGCCTCACAAGTGGAGGGGAGGATTGTGTTCCTGGCTGTGCTGTGCAGGAGCAATGCTAAGGGTGCAGCCACGCTCAGAGAGCTGAGAGAGGAAAATACTTTAGCAAAAGACCCTGTGTACCATGAGTGGAAATATAGAAACAGCACGATGAGCCAACCCTGGGCAATGTAAAGTCACTGTTCAAGCACGACCATGGCACAGCATCACCCAAGGTAGACCAACACCAAGAAAAAAGAAAAAAATCCTACAAATTCAGCTAATGCTATTTATTTATTTATTTATTTATTCATTCATTCATTCTTGACTAAGGCTTTCTCTGGAAGAATGTTCAGCTGTCTTATGGTTCTCCAGCACTTTAGGGAAAAGGTAAAATTATCCTGTATTTACTATGGAAATTTAGCAGTTCCCTGCTGCCGTGGGACTGGAGAGCTGTCCCAGCAGATGGTGCTGTGATCCTTCTCCTGCTCAGATTATTTCTTCTTTCTGAGCATCAAACCTACAGCCGGAGTGTGAACTCTGGCCAGGCACACTCAGCTCCAGGGAAGCTGGACTGTGGGTACACCTAGAGCTCCACTGGGTGTATGTCTTCCTTGTCCTTGGTGGTCCCAGCCATCCCAATCTCCCTATGGAGGTCTTTGCAGTACCTTCCTTCATGTTCCTAGGAAAACATAGGTCTGCACCCGAATTTATTGCTGAACACAAAGGTGCATTCCTGGTTGAATGATATAAAACGTGCCACCAAGCTCTTGCCTCTATCTGCAACCATGCACAAGGTTGTCAGGATAAGTGATGCATTTTAGGAGAGAGTTCAGGTGCTAAGATTCATAGGATGGATCAGCCTGGCAAGTTGAGATTTCACTGCACTGAGAAATTCACTGCTTGTACAGCCCCTGCTCAGATCAGATCTGATGCAATGCCTGTAGATGGATGGGTTTAAAACTCTTCTCCCTGTACTGGCTTTGTCCAGCAGTGAGGTCAGCTGCCTAAAAATGACATCGGCACCCCCCCACAACAATAGCCTATTCACAGTCTCAGCTCCTCTGCAGGCAAGTAGAGGACATAAATCAAGGCCCAGCAGGGCTCAGAAAGGGAACTTTGGACTGGGGTTGTTTATGGTTTCTGTGTGCTGGAAAGCCTCTGCTATTTCATCCCTCACAGCAACAGGTAAGTGTTTCCCTGTGCCCTCCCAAAGCTATTGTAAACCTCCATCCATTCACATTTGTTAAGTGCTTGAGATTTGCAGTTAAAAGACCAAAGTAGATTTAAAATATACATATAACTGCATACTACATCATTGAAATAAACTCCAGTGAATAGTCTTACATAAGACCAACTGCTCACCAGTTCACTGCCTTTCTGTACCCCATATTGCCTTAACTCATGCTGCCTCATTAATAGACTTCATAATCTGAATTTCAACTTGTAGCTTTTTACAGCACTCCTACATATGGGTTCTGTGTGTCCCCACAGGCAGTCCAGAGTTATAAACTCCCAGGGAGACATTAAACATGGCTATACTGGTAAGGTTATGTCCTCTGGGCAATAAGGCTTCTAGGACAAAAATAAGGTTCCCTTTATGCCTGAGATGTAAAAGTGAACATGCTGGCAGATAGACCAGTACTGAATAATATAAAGGTGAAGAATTTGTGATAAATATTTCTTCAGCGTCATGTCTGTGGTATATTTTCAACTCAGAATTAAGATGAGGCTATGGAACAGCTCTACATTCCTTGGTACAAGAAAAGCCAGTGTGTTTTCTGGTTGTTCCTCTTGACAAAGCAAGAACCATCAGTGCTTTTAGGCTATGAATATGAGAGTGGTTTCACACAATACCAATACCCTAGCTTTGGACCTAGTCCACTGTGATTATTAATAAGGTAATGCATAACATATGTCAAAGCAAGGGCTGTCAAATCTGCTTGACAACTACTCCCATCTCAATCATATGAATTGGCAATGTGGGCAGGTTTTTTCCATAATGTAAAGCAGTTCCTATCAACTGCAGATTGCACTTCACAGAAGGCTCAGTTTCAAGCAGATGCCAGATTCTCACTGTTCATCTGGAGACAGACACAGTGCGTGAACAGAGTAAAGAACTCATTTGTGATTCAAAATAAACACTTCCCTTTTCTTAGCAGCAGAGGCAATGCAGAGCTCTCACCTGTGGGTACCGTGGGCTCTAGCAGGGGTCGAGTTTCACAGTCCTGAGGACTGTGTGCTGTCCTGAGACTGCAGCTCATCACGTCCCGTCTGCAGCAGCACAGGCAGGTTTATGTGTGTGACACCCCTTTCCATGCCAAGAGGAGATGCCAGGAGATGGAGTGACATTCCAGAGCAAGTCCACAGGGGGAAGGGACTGCTGCTGCTGTGTTCATGTCAGAATAAAGCCTGTGTGCTGTGCAAGGGCCATGCTTAGCATGAGACAGGACAGCTAAAAATTACTTTTGTACACACATTAATTTATATATTATCAGGAGTGACTGTTTTGTTGAGGGATTTTTTCCCATTTAATTTTCAGGGAGAAAATTCCCATTCCTTTCCTCTCATGAACAGTTCCTTATTGCAAACATTGTTCCAAATATGTTGGTGAAAAGACTGCTCCTGGTGGACTTGTCACAAACAGATTTGCCCCATTAATAAGTTAGAGAGGAAAAAAAGAACTCACATGGCACAGACATTTGCAAGGCTTTTATCATTTGGCCAGAGAGCAAAACAGGATACCAAGGAAGCAACTTCAAATATATCTGCAAGAGTAACATTGCACTTGGGGTACCACTACTGCTTCACAGCTTGCTCCAAGATGTTCTCATCCAGCACCTTGTGAGGGAGAGTCACCCTCAGTGTGCCATTTTCCTTCATTGCTTGGCAGATGGTTTCATAAGCAAAGGCATTTCCCGACCAGCAGCGCCTGGCGACCTGTCAGGCACCAGAATGAAGGGATGTAAAAATCAGGCATTTCTCTTGCCACACCCACCTTGCACCATATTTGTGCAAACACTGGCACCCGACTCGTGACAATAAATCTTTCAACCCTCTGCCAGTTTTTGGGTTCCCTTCTGATTTTGCAAGTTATTTTTGTAATACTTCATTTTAAGAGTAGTATTTGGGTAGACATGGTACTTTTCCATGCATAACATTGGACAGATAAACACTGGCAGAGCCAGGTACCTTATAAACTTACTAAATTCCCTCCCAAAAATAATTCATCCCAGCTCTGTAAAACTAGCTTTAGATAACAGAATCATTTAAGCAGTCAGTGCTTTTGTAGTGGGATAAATATTTTAAAAGGAAAATGTCACTTCAATGCATTTACGAAATAAAGGGGCCAAATTCTCTGCCAGCATGTAAGGATGAAATTCTACTGACAGCTAGAGAAATTATTAACCCCTTTTCCATCAGCAAAACTCTGTGTTTTGATTTATGTACAAGCAAGATTCCCCAGATAAAACAATAATATTAAAGTATACTTATATTAGTTTTGCTTACTCCATTGGAAACATCCCAGCTGAGCATCATCTTAGCTCGTTCTTCAGCTTCCTTGGACCCGTCCAAAACCAGGCCAAATCCCCCATTGATCACTTCACCCCTAAAAGAAAATGTAAGAGAATGAAATAAAAATAATTCAAACTACTACTACAAAATTTACAGGAATTAATTTGTTCAGTTGTACTGCAAGAAGAAGGATGAGAATATAGAAATTATTGTGAATAAGAGACTACCAGTGATGTTTTATACTTATGAAAAAAGAAAAAGAGTGTTTCACAGGCAAAGGCCTGATTTCCTGACGTGCAGCAAACCCACCCCACCTTTCTTGTAATGCCCAGCTAGCAGGCAGGATCTGCTCCAAGCAGGGATACCAAAAATTAGGCTTGTTCTGTATGTTCTGAGTCCTGCTCTGTGTACTGGCTCTAAAAACAGGTGGAGAGAGGTTAACAGGTCTGATGGGCCAGAGATTTACCTGTCTCAGGGTGTTTTTAAAGGTTAAATTCCTCATGTTTGCAACACTACAGCTGCCATCTAGCCAGGACCAGGAGAGTGACAGTGTATTTACAGCAGCAGGCAGATGGATCTATTTATGTTCTCTTGGGACAAATGACAGAGCATAAGCATTTTATTAAAAAAGTGTTAACCACCACTTAATGCACATCTGCCTCAGTCATTTCCAAAACAGTCATTCATTTCGTATGAGATACAGAGATGTTTAAAGACATCAGTGCCAACTTTTCAGGAAGCAGACTTATTGGCAGAAGAAGAACAGAAATATGTTAAAATGAACAGATTATTCTTGGGAGAAATAACAGTCTGGTTTTAAAGGACAGGGAAAACACGTAGAGCAAAACATCTTGTCTGACTTCAGAATCTGGCCTGCTTGAGTTCCCATTCTGTGGCATATGGTGAGTAG